CGAATAGAGATTGTTTGGAATATTGTGCTGAATTGTGGGATATTTATTCGATATATCATGCAGTTTCCCAATGAAACACCAACAGTCTCATCCCCTGTTCATATTCAACACCCCGATTCTATGTGTCTTTATCCCCGAAACACAAATATTCAAAACACTATATCTACATGTATGTCATCAAATTCAAATCCCATCAAATCCCTTTTGCTCATGGTTTCCCATTCAATCACCATTTAAAAGCACATATTTTCAAAACCCAGCTGACAACGGTCATCCAGGAGGGCTGCTGGCAGAAGTGGAAGCCATCGAGGCTTCGGCGGTGCTGGGAGATGTCTACCCACATGATGCCTACACCTCGCGCTTGCAGCAGAAACTGCTGCAGGACTGGGCGGATCAAATTGGGCCTTGGTTTCCACTGGGGAAAGGACGAATCTATGGGAAATTTCATGGCAAAGTAGGGAAAATTGTGATTGAATTATGTACAGGTATATATATATATGTGTGTGTGTGTATAAAACCACCCAAATGATTAAAAGACAATTTTAGAGGATATAACAATTATGATATGTGGCTTTGAACTTGGTGCCCCAAACTAACATTTTACAGTGGGGACATGATCACATCAACACGTGGATGGGAAAGCTCACCTCAAAGGAAAAGTGATGACCGTCACTGGTCCAAAAGGGTGACACATCAACGACTTTGCCCAACACATCCGAAACATCTTCATGTGTTTGGTGGGTTATATAGTCATATAATGGGATATGTGGGGATATATTGTATAACTCAATGATTGGTGGGTTATATAATGTGATATAGTTATATGCCGTGGCTGGCTGGTTTAAGATGGTTTTTCTGTAGCCCATGTTCCATCCAGTCTTCCAGCCCTCAGTTCCTGGCAGGGTCGTTCACTGCTCCAACCCTTTGGCAAATGAGGAGTTTGCTATGGAACATTTCATAACATTTCTATATCTTAAATAGAGACATCACCCATATACACAAGGTTCAATTACTAGAGGGTAGGTGGTTTATAATCTATTACCTATAGATAACGCGCTAGCTGGGATATGTCTGGATATTTCATGTGGTTCTTCCCCACTTTTCGCGAGTCAAGCTGCAGGACACCCATCGGATGCTGCTGAACACCTCGGTGCCGCTGTTGAGATGGCTTCCAGCCTTGGATGATGGGCAAGGAAGGTGCCACGTGGCATGATTGGTGCCATGGCCCGGGAATCCTCATGGTTTTGACATGGCAATTTTTATGGTACCCTCTGGTAAACGTTTACATAACTATGGAAAATCACCATTTTTTATGGGTAAATCGATAAATGGACCATGATCAATAGCTATGTTAGTTTACCAGAGGGATCCAGAGGGTAACATCACGGCAAAATCATAGAAAGAAACATGTGAAAATCAACTAAGAACTATAGACGGATGTTTATAGCTGGGAAATCATGGAACTAAATGGGTGGATTTTCCACTGCTACGTTTCATTACCAGAGGGGATGTGGGGTTGAGCTGCGGGCGCTCTTCAGCGCCACGGCATTCTGAGGATGTTCTTGGATTTTCGTGGGACATCATGGGATATCATGGGGATATCATTGGGGATGTCGAAAGTTAAAGTTGGATGTTGGTTTTACATGGCCTAACCATCAATGGGATTTAATCCAGCCGAGGTTCTATCATCAACACTAGGGATGTCACCGATGAATATATGATGAATACGCATTTGTCCAAACATGGTGGATGCCCCAAATGTATGGCCACAAGATGTCATAAACAATTGAACATTAGGTGAAGAACATGATGAACCAGGAGATTTCGGGCTACCCTATTGTAAATGCATGGACCTTTGCAGATTTTCCAAAGCATCAATACTAGCACCATTGATTGAGGGCAACATCAATACATTGTCGCTGATGAAATCACCGTTCTTTTCGCTTCAACCTTCAATTTTCGCTGATGAGATCCCAGTTTGCTGGTTCAACCTTCAATTTTCCTGGTGAAACCTTGCATTTCATCTCCAAAACTGACATGTTTGGCCGGTTTTTGGCCAGCCAGCCATGTCACTTGCCAGGTGGCACAGGGATCACATGGAGGATGCGGGGCATCCCAACAGCCTGGGCCACCAGGCCAGCGGCATGGGGATGCGGTCATGATATACCCTCTGGTAAACTAACATAGCTATTGAAAATGGCCATTTATAGTGGATTTTCCCATTCAAAATGGTGATTTTCCATAGTTATGTTAGTTTACCAGAGGGTATGTCATGTTATATCCCATGATCAAATCTTATTGTGAAATAACACTGATTATCCATGTGATTATGGATCTAAATCCCATGTCATGATTTATATCATGATATCATGTTGTATCATATTTTATGAAACAGCGGTGATTCTTATTGTGATTTAATGGTTTTTTTCATGGGATACACGTATACACATGTATGTGTGTATATATATAATATATATGATTAAGATAATTAAGCATGAAACACTGGTGATTTTTTGTGAGATTTACACTGAGGCATTTACTATTATTTTTATATGGTTGTTTATGATGATTCAATAGGATTTAATGATGAGAAATGACACGTGGCAATGGGAACAGGCCTATTCAAACATGATTTTCCCAGCGACAAAAACAGCCACCCGTCATGGGGACGGCCCCCCACAACCCGACCAGGGATTTAACTGGTGGGATTTTTAGGGAGAGAAACCTTCCGAAACTGGAGAATTCATGTGAATTTTATGGGATTGAGCTGATTTAAGCATCAACAAATAGGGATTTTGTGGAATTGAATGATGATAATATGGCAATCACATATTGCTAGCAGGAAATCACATACTAAATGGTGATTACATGGTGGTTTTCCAGTTGCCTTGTTTGTTACCGCAGGGCAATGACCTTCGTGATGGCAAGTCCCCAAGAAGTGGCTTATTTCATCTAGAAAGGGCTTGAACTAAGTCCCCCAAGCGAATCATATCGTCGACAGAGGCGTGGTATTATGGCATATTATGGCTATTCACCACTTACGGAGTGGGATGGTCTTCCAAGTAATGGCATATCTGGAAAACTCTTCGGAAGTGGATGTGTTAATTAATCATCCCAGCAAGTCAAAAAAAGAGAGAGGGACCCAGGCAGGGAGGGAGAGGGAGAGTCTGAAAGCCAATGGTAGATCCATGATGTGCTATCTAAGATATCTAATGGTTAAACCTTGATTTGGTTGCCTGACGGCTTGTTCAGTCAGATATGGCAGACATCATCATTTCGATTAGTAGTTTCATCCTGCCAGATTTTCATATGGTTGAAAGATTTTGATATTTACGGACGGTTCCATAGCCATGATTTGAAGCAGTTATTTCTTCATGTATGTTCATGTAGGACTATTGTACCAGTTGACTTAAGATTGAATTGTTGAAGTGTAGAAGTATTGTTCGAAGTCCCTCATATTTGGGACGATCAGCCGCTGCTATACATGAAATCTCCCCACTTCGTTCGGCAAATGTGTTGGGCCCAGGTCATGTTCGAGGCCATTGACCTCTCCATGTTCGATCCCAGCAACGCGAACTCGCTGCGCCCAAAACGTGAGTTTCATCCCTGATGCGTTGAGCAAAGACGCGTGGGTTGTATGGAGATCATTAGACAACAAGAAGTCCATGAGGTGCCATGAGCCAAAGTTGGATTATGTACACATATTGAGGGATTGTTATATCAACCTATTTGTAGAACTTTGTATGCCCATTATGAAGAGTCTTCTTGTGTGATAGGATAGATGACGAAAGCTCACAGGCCATGTTTCTGACCATGGCACATATTAATATGGTTGAGAAAAAAGCGTTCTCGATTACCCATGGCTAAAAATTGGGTACGCCCAATTTTAGGCAGACCAAGGTTGATTTATCGGTGGCCATCAGTTGACATAGAAAAAGGTCGCGAAGGTTGCAAATGAACTGTTGAAATAAGTTATATGTATATATATATATACATGTCCCTACACAACCCCACAAAGAGCTGGGTGGGGCCACATGCGCCAGAATCCACCTGCAGTCCGATCATAGCAGCACTTAGATCCTCCAAGTGCTTTTTTAAATGGGCAAATGATTTAGGGTCGTTATAATGGGTACCCTCTGGTAATTTAACGTAGCTATTGAAAATGACCATTTATAGTGGATTTTCCCATTAAAAATGGTGATTTTCTATAGCTACGTTCCATTGCCAGAGGGTATATATTCTCCATTTTTCTATGTACTTGGAGGGTCCAGGCATCTCGAAATTGGGAGGCTGAAGCTTGCTGCGGATGTACAAAGCCTGAGGGGGTTTGAAGACACATTACCTGTCAGCTGGGCCAGAAAGGCAATTTTTCCCAGTTTGTGCAAAACCATACAAAACATCTTGGCTTTGGGGGTGTAGCTAGGAACATTCATATACAATCTGAAAGAGGGAGAGGGAGATGTAGCATTGAAATCGTGAAGCAACAAAACCATTCAACAATGAATGTTTCATGGGCAACCCCGAAGAAACACTATAGTGGAACCTTTGTGTACCTGCGGAATGTTGGTGGATTTCCCTCCAACGCACCCAGTGAATCAGCCCCATCCCTATTTATGACGTCTTCACAAACCACCTTTGACTGGAAATCATGGCTGGGCTGCTTCGTGCGCAAGAAACGGAGCGGAAACTCCTAACCTTTTGGCCTTTGCGCGGGAACCTCTTCATTGACTAGATGAATCGGAAAATCTTAAGATATCTTAAGCCCTTGGTGACATTGGTGAGCACTAGAATTACTAAAAAATCTCAGGGGGTTGAGGTTCAAAACTATATATATATATATATATATATATAGTGTACACTATTATCAATTTATTGCCCAAGTTGCCAAGTTATTCCGGTTTTGGTATTTGAAGCCACGTTGCCAAAATGATCATTGGCTCAAGCTGGTTCTCCTGCTGCTTTTCATGACTAAAAATCACCACTTTCCATACTTTTCTCATACTTGTCCCCGAAATGTTCCATAAAAATCCCATGACACCCAATGTTTGATGGTTAGCTAACGATCCGTAGGTACGACCTGGGTTTACCGATGATTTTGCTCCCCAGCCTGTCAGGCCAGAAGCATCGCACAGTTGGTGGCCCGTCAGTTGCGCCTCGGCAGGTTTAAGCATGCTGCAACCGCAAAGCCGTGTGCTTTAATTGGGACATTATGGTATATGTAATCGGGAAACCATACGGATATACAAATATACTATAAACACGTTCCTCGATTATTTGTTCTGCCTAGCTGCTTCGCTGCCTAGCTGCCTAGCTGCCTAGCTGTGTGAAGCGAGTAAACAGAAAAAAGTCACACGGGACTATGTCAGCATGAATTAATCCTCTCCAGGTCCCCAAGCCCCTCCCCAATCCCCCCCGGTCCCCAATCCCCCCCATGTCCCCTAAAAGTAGACCCCAAATGGCTCAAATGGTTGTTATTCTACATGAAGGTATGTTTAGGTCAATCTGGGGGCAAGTGAGTCGTTTCTATGGGCGCAAGTGAAGCTGGTTCCCTTTGGGCATTCTCTTTGGGTTCAAAAGATCCGCTCACAATGTTATTTGATGTTCTATAAATATTGGGATAGACCCCTTCCTCCAAATTTCATATACCCCGCCATGAATTGCCTGTTGCCACCAACTACTTTCCATCCTAAACCTGGTTGGCAATTCCCAGGGTCTGAACATGTTTGAACGCTAGTTGAGGCTAGTAAAACCACGTATAAACCATGGATTTGTTAGAGAATCACATGCTCTATGGGTCAACTACCATCTCGAAATATGTTGGGTATGTTATATTGGGGTGCCATCCGGATTTTCAAAGTATTTGGATCCATCAATGGATTTGTTTCAGGAATACCTACAGGAAACCGCAGAAAATCAATGTGTTTTTTTTTTTAATGGGGTTTCCTGTATTAAATTTGCCCATCATGCAGTTCTGGGAATCAGATTTATGTTAGTTGATATGATGAAGGGGACATTTCATTTCCGGGAAATAGTTATTAGTTCTAGGAATTATCATCATCAGTTCTGGGAATTAATCAATTAGTTGCGGTTCAACAACTAAACATGCTGTTTTTTCCATAACTATGTTAAGTAACCAGTGGTTGTTACCTATCAAATTTGAGATTTCGTTTTTTTTTTCGCAGTTGAGATTTCAAGTTTGGCACGTCCTCACGCCCAGGTCTGGTTCCTCTCCGCGGCTGTCGTCACCGGCTTCGCGGGAAGCCTCGCCCCAGGCGTCTGAGGCGACACATGTGGATTTCAGTCAGTGATCCAGATTTCTATATAATAAGTGAAACCTAAAACTCAAAAAATCTGATCGGCTGAGCGGTCTTGACATGACACCAAGTTGGCGGTTTCTTCTCGAGTGTCCTGGGTCCAGGTATACATAGAACCGAGGATATTCAATTATACATTCATATGATTGGTTCTAACTGATATGTATCAAATATTCCATAATTCCAAAGTATAAGTCATAAGTAATGGAATGATGCTTCCATAATTCCTTTGATATTCCTGTAGTATTAATGGTTGCATCATTACTTTCTGGCCATTCCACCATGGCAGGCGGTGGATCCTCCGGCGGATCCGGAGCGCACCCTGCTGGAAACCAGCGGCGACGTAGGTGCCGAGTTGAACCACGGGAGTCGAAGAGAACATGGTCTTTGAATAAATTTCCCGTGAAACTTTAGGACCTTTAGGATGAAGCCCAATCATATCCAATCATCATGATTAATTATTTAGTTAGTTTTTTCTCTCCGCATTTAAGTGTTGATTCGCAAAGTCATGCATATTCTGGGCTTATGATTAATCCAGATTGTCCAAGCGATATCACATTTTCCCCCATTCGACCGCAGCGGATTTATATTTGCTGAAGAAAAAATGGATTCAAGTCGCAACAAATCTGGGTAAACACTGGTGGTTTTAAACAATCATTATCTGCCATATCTGAGGAATTAGATATACTAACCAGCTAAATGTTGATTTGTATCTAAGACTAGCTAACATTAGCTAACTACCCCCTTAAGAATCTAACTACTCCGTAGTAATTTATCTCAGTTGTTAGGTAATGGGACATAGAGTGTATTAGCGTTATGCTCCTGAAAAATTGGTTTGGCAGGATCCATGCACTTTGTAAGCCCATTCAAGGCAATTTTGTACCGAAGCAACCCACGACATGGTTGATGTCCAATGGGCATGGCTTATTTGTTTTTGGACGTTCAAACTATATTAGATACCCAACCCGAGTGATTTATCCTAAATGTATCATTAAACTTGCCATCAAATAAGTTATCCCTTTCCCCAGGTTTCTCCAATCTATCCCCATCGAACAATTACCATACTTTGGAGGTAAACCCACCATTTATCGGGAAAAATCCAGCATTTCCGGCGAACAAAAAACATAATCTTATCCCCCTAATATTACACATCCCCATTGTATGGTCTCAATTGTGTGAAAGTATATCCACCATAGTTTCAAACGGGGTATGTAATATTAATGTCAACCCTGGATTAATAAACCTTAAGGCTGTTTAATTGGGGAGTACCATTTAAGTATCAGATTATGACTATTAGGGAAGTACCCCCTAATTAATAAACCATGGTTTATTAATCCGGGGTTGACATTAGGTCTCAGCCCAAAAAAACTCCCGCAGGCACCGAGCCCTTACCAGCCACAGAGAACCCTGCGGCTGCGGAGCCGGCGACGGAGGATGTCACTTGGGTGCAGCCAGAAAGTAGGGGTAAACCCACCATAGTCCTTAAAAATGGTGGGTGTAAAAGTCCAGAGTATTGCGATTTGGATGGGGACCTTGGGGATGGATGGGAAAACCTAGAGAAGGTTTGAAATGTCAACCATGGAATGATTTTTTAGAGAACGGAAATGCTAATAGGAAAGCAGAGTTTGATTGCTCCAAATATCGGGGTGTCCGGTTCTAATTCTCCGTCGAACAGCGAACGCAGCCATTGAGTATTCTTGCCCCTTGACAGTAGGGAATGTGACCAACAAAATTACTTTACTTCGTGTGATCCCCACCATGACATTTATACATGTTCTTACTGGCACATCTTCTGGCATTCTATCTGACATATCTTGTGACATTCTATTTGGCATTCTATCTGGCATATCTTCTGGCATTCTATCTGGCATATCTTCTTCTGGCATTCTATCTGGCATATCTTCTGGCATTCTATCTGACATATCTTATGGCATTCTATCTGGCATTCTATCTGGCATATCTTCTGGCATATATTCTGACATATCTTCTGGCATTCTATCTGGCATTCTATCTGGCATTCTATCTGGCATATCTTCTGAAATATCTTCTGGCATATCTATCTGGCATATCTTCTGGCATATTTTCTGGCATTCTACCTGGCAAATCTTCTGGCACTCTATCTGACATTTTATCTTCCTACATGAGGTCCGGCAGGGAACACTTGGCGTGGATACTCGCGGTTGAGGTCCGGCAGGAAACACTGGGCGTGGATGGTCGTGGTTGAGGTCCGGCAGGGAACACTGGGTGGATGGTCGTGGTTGAGGTCCGGCAGGGAACACTGGGCGTGGATGGTCGTGGTTGAGGTCCGGCAGGGAACACTGGGCGTGGATGGTCGTGGTTGAGGTCCGGCAGCAACACTGTGGATCGCGAGTCGCAGTTGAGCAGGAGGACGAGGAGGACAACGAGAGGAGGAGGACAACGAGAGGAGGAGGACAACGAGAGGAGGAGGACGACGAGAGGAGGAGGAGAGGAGGAGGAGGAGGAGCAGGCAACTTAGATAAAATCTAACAACCCTCACCTGGCAGGTGGGGAAAAAACATTTTTGGGTTCACCAGTTGGTGAATGGTAGATTAAATGGATTAAGTCAAGTCTTAATTAGTTATATTAGCTGCAACTGATGTATACTTTCTGGCAATATACTATACCCAACTTTTTTGGGGGGAGGGGAAGGTGGGTATCTACGATATATGCGCCAAGTTATGGCACGTCCATGTTCTCAAGGTTGGTGCTCTCGGGATCACATGCACGAGATGGACTGGACCAGATCATGGTTGGTCATAATTGGGTTAGTTGGTCCCTATCAATTACATGATATTACATTGAAGTATTAAATTACAGGCTATTACGTTCTATCATTCTATATTTCATTGTATGTTTCACATTTTTTCATTTCCTCCCTTTCGCGCTTGTGTTTCCAGTCCACTGCTACCGTATGTTGAATTCAAGTGTCACGTAGAGGGCAGTCTAAATCATGACTCCTGATCTTCAGAAAGTTGGATCGGTGGCAACACACCAACTTTTACCCTGAATAATCGCTATCCATAATATCGAATACCCTGAATCCCTGGCTTTGAACTCTATTTATTTTGGGGTCCTAAAGGTTGGGAGTATTTGCATTGAATTATTTGTAATACTGTAATACATATATATATATATATATATGTAATCACCACCCCTTTAAGGCCACTTTTCAGGGGGGGAACCATACCAAAATGTAAGCTACATTTTTGGGGGATCCCCCCTTAAATGTAAAATTGGTTGCTGAACGGCCCCCAGGTGTCGTTTTTGTGGGGAGGGTCTTCAAAATACCTTCAAAATGTAAGCTTACATGTTCAAGGCCCTTCAAAAACACCTTGAAAAATGTAGCTTACATTTTGGGTACGTCCCCCCTCCTTAAAACGGTGATAATTATATATTATATATTCTCGTATTGGCCCACCAGAAAGGCCAAATTATATTCTTGCCTAAGCTTGAAAAATCACCATGAAATCCCCATGACATCCATGTTGATCCACGGCTAAATCCATCTGGTGACGCCCATGAACTTCATGGATTTCCGGAGGTGGCGCTGCCGGTTGACGAGGGCGACGAGGGAAGCGTCCCGCGGCCACCGGTGGAAATCACCTCAGGATGGGACGTCGCTTGGCGACGTCATTGCTATTTGGCTTTAGTGATGGCTTGATAGTGATAAAACTGATATAAACTGATCACAAAAAAAGATAAACGTCGAGTTCACAATAGTTATTAGACTACTAGATAGTAAATACGGGCCTATATATTATGATAGCTTGGTTAAGAACCATATTAGTTACCAATCATCTTAGATGAACCACTTGATATTCCAGTGACAGAGATGGTGTCCGGAATCGCCTCACTTGAGGCGATTCCGGCGCCAAAATCCATAAAAATCACCATTGTATATAGGCAAATCACATTTGCTATCATCTATAAATTGGTAATTTTCACATAGTCATGTTGAATACCCCGATATCAGATATGATCAGATCTAGCATTCCCCAGGTCATTCATGGATGTTCACCGCTCATTTACCTAGGCCCAACAGCAGCCCAACGCTCAGCGTTTCATGTACTTTTTCAAAATTAAACATGTGGGCGTCAAATGAACATGTATATGCAAAATCCAAATGTTTCAAACTTTGTTGCTTCTACTCAGTCCTCATCCTTTCCCAATCCAATACAATCTTATCCCTTGTTTTTTGGTCAAATCCAAATTATTGCATGTACATCCACCTATGGCAACCCTACAATGTGGGGCACTCCAGTTCCAACTTACTCTTCAGTGTCATCAAACATGGCTTGCTGGAAAATTCTCCTTCAGTTGATATAATCATGAATAGACAATTTTCCAACTATAAACCTCCATTTAGTTCAGGGATTTTCCAGCTAGCAATGTTTGATTTCCAGAGGGTACCTATAAAACTAATGTGGTTAAAACAGTAATAAACCGTCCCCAAAATCACCATAAATGTGTGGTATAGACCATCAAACATGGGGTGGTTTATTATTGTTTTAACATTTTTAACCACATTACACCTTGTAGCTCCTAGGTCTTCAACCCGGACGACCAGTTGGAGCACACCATTCCCACGGGCCTTTCCGCGGCCGCGCTTCCCCAGTCGGACGCCGCCGCAACTGCGCAGGACGGTCCCGTGGCGAACGACGAGAAAGTGAAGATGGGATGGTTGGATCGGAAATGGAACAGCTCCAGTGAACTACCCTCTACTAATTTAACATAGCTATTGAAATTTGCCATTTATAGTTGATTTACCCATTAAAAATGGTGATTTTCCATAGTTATGTTAGTTTACCAGAGGGTATATAACATTACAATTCATATAGTATACAGTATAAGTGAATATATTTCACCATCTCTTAGAGGGGTCCCCGTATCCCAACAAACATAGGAGATAAACATTGATAAGATATTTTGGTGATACCTGATGCCCATAAAAGTAAGCCCATTTGCACCGCCAAGAAAAGGGATTTAGCTTAAATTTGGGGATTGAAGCAACCCCTTGTGGAGAAACACGTTGGGTAAGTAGATGTCAATCTTGATATACAGACCTTGGATGGGTTGCGTGATTTTTAATAGTTTGCTTTAGATTGGGATGTAGTATGGTGATAATGAGTGTTGCTATATTATACATTATATGTATATATATATATATATAAATTTGCACATATAATGGCACACACACACACACATATATATATATATATGTATATATATATATATACATACATACACATATATATATATATGTAAAGATACATGTACGTGCTAGCGGGACATATTCGATACCAATACTCAGCAAAATGACCAGTTTATTCAAGAAGCATGTGGATTTAGCTGGATGAACACGGGTGAAGGGGGAGATGCAAGCAGCAGTTGGAGGTTTTTTGGGTAGTGTTACCATCCATCCATCCGGTGATCAAACGTGGACATGGAAAATAGATGAAAATAGCTTATAAATGGAGGGTTTTGGGGAACACCAACTGTAAATGGTATATTTTGGGTTCACTAGCCCGCTTTGAGGGGCCGATTGCTCAAAGCTATTGGCCCAGCACTGCTGTGAGAATTACAGTGCCACAATTGTTGGGAAGCACATGCGGTTCGTTGGCTAATGTGAGGTAAACAAGAAATATTAAACCACCCCCAAGTCATCACAAGTCTTGTGGATGGTACAAACTATCCCCAAATGGTAGGTTTATGGCATGGGGCTGCCGACATAACTGTATTTGTTTGCTGCTTGGGTTGGTTTCGTCAAAAACTCAGGCTGGGGAGACTTTGATTTCGACGCCTTGATGTGACCACTGAACGGAGATTCTGCGAAGTGGGTGTCACGGCCACTGCAGCTAGGGGAAGGTGAACATACCTGGGCCCCACCTGTAACTTGGGCATATCCTATGCATAACAGGGCTATGATATGGTTGTTAACCACTTACGATTCCCGGGATGCACTTCCAAGTAGTGCACACGGCTCCATGCTTAGATCTCTACTGAGACTAGCAAGTGGGTGAGTAACTGGGTCTTCTCCCAAAATCTCCTAGGAGTGGGGGGTTAGAAGCTAGCTACGTGGACTTACTTGGCCTTTAGATGCATTTTGCGAACCTCAGAGAACATCTAAGCACAGGTGTCCCGAGGTTCATACTTCTGAAAACGGGATGTCAGGAACTTCTCTTTGTATCTCACTGTAAGAATCGGTCGACCAAGGTCTTCAACTTCAGGATTGTATAGAGAGATAGGAGGTGGATTAGTTTGTCTTGTGTGTTTGCCCCCGCCCATTCCAGACACAAGTTAAAGTATGTTAAAGTGTTGTATCCATAGCAAGTGCTGAATTTGATCACGAGTTCATGGTTCTTCAATGTGTTTGTTTTCCTATCTCTGGAAATCAAAAGAAAAAACCTATTGACATGTTCAAGCAGGATGGCTAACAAACCATTCAACTCCAGCACCTGAAATCTTACTCTTTGTTTGCTCAAGTTGTTTTTTTGGAGGCCAATACCACATGTTTGTCTGTGATGCCTACATATTATTTTATATATACATACAGACAGAGAGGGAGAGAGAGAGAGAGAGAGAGAATCTCCCTATGATGTTGCTACCTCCATTTGATGGCTGGCCCCACCCCCTTTGCGCAGTGAACGTGCCAACGCAAAACAAACGCCGTGGCGTCAAAACGTGCCGCCAGCTCGGCGATAGAATCTGACTTTTCTCCGACAGAAAGTCTCTCTGCGGGAAAAGGAGCTCAAACCATCTAAGCAACAAACTTGGATGGGCCATGCAGTCAGAGAACCCGAGTTAGTAAGTGGATTACAACCCATGATTTACCAAGTTTTATCAATTATAAAGGGATATATATATATATATATATATAAATTATAACCCACTACGATCACCAGTACTTCATGTCCCATGTAAGCGCAGAAAACTGCCGGATTGCTTCCATATGTTGGAAATCAAGAACGGCATCGCCCTCATTTCTTCTGTGGGTGGCAGCTCTCCTTTCACTTTGACAAGGGGGCATTGTGCAGCATGAGTTGCAGAGGTCAGAAACAGATGCCTCGAAGATGGAAGCCATTCTGAGGGTGAGGGCCTCAAGTGGGAGCACCCGACTTCTTACATGGCCAATCACATCCTGCCCGGCCACAAGATCCACCGATTCTATCCAATTCTCAACCTGGGGCTGCTCCATGAGTATGAATGGCTTGGAGCCGTGGGCACTACATAAATATAGAACCAATCACAACACCAAATACTAGTTGCTAGCTTTGATTCAGCTGGTGGCAACATCCTCGCAAACAAATCATTGGTGTGAATGCAACCACTGAATCAGATTTAATCAATAGTTATGTGGTCATGATTTGTGAGGGTTTTGTAGACCCAACAATTCATAAACGTCCAATTCTGGAGGTTCATACCAGCAATTTCTGGTTTCCTCTGCAGTTGCCCCATCAATTATTGCAATTACTTTACTTCGAGTGATTCCCACCCCGACACACTATGTTTCTGACATAGTTTGTGACATACCATCTGGAAGTATGTATGGCATGCGTATGTATATATATATATACACATAATATAATATACAACATAATATATATTAGTATAAAAATACAGAATATAATATAATATAATATAATATAATTTAACATTAAAATTATATTTATAATATAATATAATATAATATAATTTAACATTAAAATTATTTTATATTATATATTAAAATATAATATAATATAATCTAATATTTAATATTAAAAATATTTTAGATTATATATATTTGAATATGATATAATATCATATAATTCAATGTTAATATTATATCATATAATATTATATTATAAAATAAAATATAATATTATTCAATATAATGCTATATATACAATATATATATAGATTTACATTATGACATTCTATTTGACATTATTTCTAGCATATACTTTGACATTCTATCTGACATTCTATCTGGCATTCTCTCTGTTCGGGCAAGCCCACAGCGTCCGGAGCTCGCGATAGGAGGTTCGGCGAAGAGCTGGCACAGAAGGAGTAGACAAGAGAGGAGGCGAGGAGAAGAAGGAGGAGGAGGAGTTACACTTTTCTTAAAATCTAGAGACCCTCACCTGGCAGGCGGGGGAAAAGACCCCACTGTGACCCCACTGCCTTTTTGCAAAGATCAAGGCAACCAACACGGGGATTGAACCATCGAATATATACGAGATATGAATACTGTATGATGTTTTCTTTTCTGAGATATTTGGGATGATAACCCCAACTGACGAGCATATTGTTCAGGGAGTTGAAGCCACCAACATTCATGAGCATGTTCGAAAATATTCCAGAGAGTAAGGCTTCTGAAAGATGACCTTCAATATTCCTTGCTATATGGTTGCGCAGGAACATTGAGCATATCCCGGCATGAGAGATTATTGAGGAGAATGATGATCAGTCATTTTCTTGGGAAAGGGCACATTTGGCTACCCTACTTTTCTTAGACAACCTCTATATGTTGCTTTGCCCACTGATCTTCCAGCATGGGGGACAATAAATTTCATTTAATTTTTATCCCAGCAGCATCTTATTTATCGACGACTTGTACCCGATACTCTGGGTTTGGATTGTCCTACACTAGAGGTCTTGTGCCCCGCCCCAACCACTCAGCGACTTCCAGCGAATAGATACCTATACTGCCTATACCCAAATTGGATTCGATTTCGTTGGCAGCTGTGATGTTTCACAACTGGGTGGTAAACATAAGCTTGGACGAAAGCTTTTGTTCTTGGAGGGTTCATCCAGCACATCTTTCATGGGCATGTTATCGTTCATGTATAATTATACCCATCGCAACTGGTTACTCATGCAACATGCAGTGTCACACAGTTGTAGCTTACTCACTCCGCATGTCACCGCTTGAGGAAGAGGATGAGGAGGACACAGAAGGGACAGGCAGTAGGGGAGTGATTTCCATCCATTAAGTGCAACGAGCAGACAGATAGGAAGTGGTCTGCATAGCATGCACAGAAATAGGCATAGAGCTCGCTCGTTAGGAACCATCTCAGGTGAATGGGTGAGAAATCATTTGTCCCAGCTATCATTACGTGAGCTCAGAAATCCAACATTTTGTGCGGGCAATGTTTACTGCAAAATTTATGATAATTTATGCATCAATACAGATCTATCTCCTGTATACGCAGGATATAGATAGAAAGATTGATTGGATACATGGATGTGTAGATATACACAGATAGTTTCTTTTTAACAAGTCAAATATTTATTTTTATAATTATATATATATAAATACATACATATTCATTTGCATATAAACTGTTCAACTATATGTGCACGCTCGCTCCTTAGTTTCATTGGAGCATGCATCAGTCTGAATGCGATGGGAAAACGCAGATTACACTACTATACATTATTTTACAAATATATACATATATCATTTACGCCACCCTCTACACTCTACACCAACCTCTACGCACTGACGTGGGCACTGACGCGCGCGGACACTCACGCGGACATTGACGCGGACCCACGCTGGAAGGTTTTTGGACTCAGATATGTTAACGCTTGTAAGCCGATAGAAACATATATGCGTACACTTTATGTTGGCATCAGTTTTCATAGCCCAATTTCTAGCCAGTATGCCACTATAGCAAACCCAATAGTAAACCTACCATTGTTGGATGATATTAGGGATGTTTTATTTTTGGGTTTACCACATTGCATATTTATCAGCGTTCATTCTACGTGTACACACACACACACATATATATAACGTGTACACACACACACACATATATATATATATGTGTGTGTGTGTGTTCAGCTGTGTGTGTGTGTTAGCTTTCTGTTCCGGGTCCATAAGGGGTAAGGGCCCTCGAGGGCTACCGTAGGGCCCATGGGCCCGGGGCTGTCCAGTGGACGCTCCTCTCTTTCCAATGAGTAGCCAGGATAATAGTTCGTGATTCATCATGAAATCCTCACTACACCTAGATGGGCCAGGTTTGTTAGTTAACTCGCCAGTAAAGTTACTAACCAGGAATCCCTAATCCCATGGCCCATCCAAGTCTAGTTTTTAAAGCATCACAGTTAGTTAACTAATTGATGACTAAGTGCTATAGTTAATGGGTGTTAAGTGCTTTAGTTAAAAGGTTTATGGTTAATATCTATATTCGTTGGCATTTCATGGGCTTAGTCATCAACCTTAGATATTACTATGGCCAATGGCTAATATCATTAGATAATTAGATAGTAACTAATACCCACTTAGTTGGTAATGATCAACTACTAGATAATACCTTACTTACCTTTTTTGTTTAGATATTACATAAATAAAATGGATGCTTGAAGGATTACTATAACAAATGTAGCTAAGGGTAACCTTTTTAGCGATCAAATTGCCTTCTTACCCGTGTGGAACGACCGCAGTGGATCATGGTCGACAGCACCACTGTCGACATCTGAGGCCTCACTGTTCCTCAGAGTGGATCTTTAGCCATACATTGGAGAACAAACGGCATCTGGCTTCAGCTCGCATAGTTGCAAACCATATTTGTTGACCTGGGCTGGTATGACAGAGGAGCTGATCGCTGACAGCCTGCAACAACATACAGCCGCGATGTTCAGCTGATCATCATAGAAGCAGGAGATCTCAAACCTGATGCGACCCAGCTCGATGCTCAGTCCAGTGATTCAGCCTTTGAGGATACAGAAGATTTGATAAGATGAACGATTGATCACTATAACCGGCTAATTGGTGAAAAACCAATCGTTCATTTTTCCCATGGCCCTCCAGAACTTATTC